GAACAAAGGCGTCCGGCACGCAGGTGCACGTACCAGCGCAGCAATGCCATTTCATTCACGCTCGATCCCCTCGACTCCTCATATCCAGCCCCCCGTGAAATGTCCGCCCGGTTGCATTGTGGTACCTGTAGTCCGGCAGGGAAAGGGGGCGCTACGGCGGCCGGACAGGGCCACACACACACACACACGCGAATCTCGCAATTCACTGCGCTTGGAAAGGCAGCGAACGCCTCCCTTTCCCAGCGCTCACCCGGCCGGAGGCTGCAGCACACAACCTCGGTTTAGACGCGGGCTCTGCCTTTTAAAGCGCCTCTGTGCTCACAGGCCGGCGAGCAGCGCTCGGCCTCGGGCTTCCGATTGAGCCTCACGTCGCGAGGGGGGGGCAGCCGAACGCCGAGCACACAATGGGGCTCGTGCCCGCTTGCGCTCCCCCCGGGTGGGGGGGCGCGCGCGTGCATGCGTGCGCGCTCCTGGCGGCGGCAGAAGGCGGGGCTTCCTCGCGCTCCTGGTGCTCGAGCGTGTCCCCGGCGGTTTTTTCCTTCTGCGTTTGAAAAGGAGGGAAAAAAAAAATCAGGGTTGTTTTCCCGGGGGGCGAGGGCGGGCGAAAACCCGACGAAAAAGCCGCAGTTTCTGTTTCGGAGAGGAAGGGGGGGGGGATTTGACGCCGCGCCGGTTCCCGAGAAGCAGAGGCCGGAGAGGCCGCCGCCAGCGCGGGAGGTCATGAAGCTGACGGATAACGTGCTGCGGAGCTTTCGCGTCGCCAAGGTGTTCCGGGAGAACTCGGACAAGATCAACTGCTTCGACTTCAGCTCCAACGGCGAGACGGTCATCTCCAGCAGCGACGACGACTCCATCGTGCTGTACGACTGCCAGGAGGGAAAGTGAGTTCCCTTCTGTTGTCTCCGGCGGGGCGTGGGGGGGGCTCCTCGAGGTGAGGCCTACTGCGGGCGCCTCATCCCCGGGCTCGAGTGAAGCGCCCTGCCCGGCGGGACGGGGAGGACTGTACCGCGGGTGGCGGAGTGTGTACAGTTGAGGGGGGGTCTCTTTTATTGAGCGTGTGAGCCTTTGAATGTCAGTCTGCATGAGCGTACGTTCCCCCCAGCGCAGTGATACGCACGCTTTACGCGCAGGTTGATGTAGCGTGCTCTGTGAGCTCCGTAGGGGCAAATGCGAAGGGGGGTGTTTCACGGAATGGGTCCCCTCCTGGCAGCTCTACGTGCGCGAAGGCTGCAGAGCCCTGACGCCGGTTTGTGTGTGTGTGTGTCGCGCAGCGCGGCCTCCCCGTGTCCCGGCTGCTGCGGCAGCAGTCACGCGTGTGGTGGTGTCAGGCTGCAGTGTCGGATGAGAAGCACCCCCTTTTATTTTCTGTCCTGCTTCTCGCGTGTGCGTGGGCTGGTAACGCCAGTTGAAGTCCACCCACTGGTCATCGTTAAAAGCCTCGTAGCTAACGCCGACTTGGGTGTAGGGCGGTATTGAGTGCGCAGATTTCCCTCCTTCGCTGTCGCGGTGGCTCAGACACAGTGGGGTGGGTCAGGCTGCCCTGCGGTGGCAGCGTGTCCGTGTCCGTGCGTGTGTAACAGGGATGGTCGATCTCATTGCGCTCTCTGTGTTCCAGGCCCAAGAGAACCCTGTACAGTAAGAAGTATGGTGTGGACCTCATCAGATACACGCACGCAGCGAACACCGTGGTCTACAGCTCCAACAAAATCGACGGTACGTTTCTCCTTGAACAGCTTGCATGCTTAAGTATTGACACCCTCTGTCTTAAGTTATCTAATTCAGTAAAACGGGCTGACACCCCTATCCCTGAGCCTGGGGACCCCCCCCCCCCCCCCCAATCTTGAAGATTGGGGATGCTGTGTTTTTCTTGCAAAACCCAAGAGTTAAAAGGCAACTTTGTGTTTTGGAACTTGAAGCGAAGCTCAAAATTAAGTCTGTTATGGGGTGTGTTTACTACTAACTGCTTATACTTATATCGTGCTTTTCTGGACACTCCACTCAAAGTGGTTTACAGGCAGTGGGGATCCCCTCCACCCCCACCAGTGTGCAGCCTTTGCAAGTTTTTATTTTGGGATGAAAAGATGCAGATTCTTATGAAGTGCAGTAGGAACTGAAAAAAAAAAGAGATCGAATTAATCATATTTAAGGGTTTAGTTAGGTAACTGATGGCTCATCTGGAATGAAAGTCTGCAGGGTTGGGGGTCCCCTAATTTACGGTGACCATTGAGACTTGAATTGGGGATATTCTGGACTAGGGTAGAAACTCCTGCATCCAAACTCCTTAGCTGTCAAACATGGGGGAGTCCAGCAGTTAGTTCAGTCATCGCTCGT